ACTTAAAAGCAAGCAATTAATACCACTCTGGTGCTTTACTAATGCTGTTTCCAAATTGCCTTACACAGAGAATCATTCATCTCACCCACTGACATAAACTTACATTGAAAATCTAAAGTTAAGAATGAAAATTATATTAACTTAAAACATTACAATTCAGATAGCATTGTTTATGCCAAGCATTGTCCAACACTTTCACAATCATCCTTCGTAATATCCCTAAGACTCTACCACCATCCCCTTACTGAACAGTAAACTAAAGTAAATAAAACTTTCTTGGGGCCATATAGTTAATAATTTTCTTATTCTTATTAAATCACAATAACCAATATCTTTACCATAGCCAGTGTCCACATTAGATTTAATAGAACCCACCCAGGGATCTAGCCCGAAAGGTGGGTGGACATAATTCCTTCTATCTCTCCATAACTTTATCTATTGGTTTTTAAATTAGGCTACCAGCCTTTCACTCTAAGCTGCCTGCTTAAGATTTTTGTTTACTACTCTCACTTTAGTGCCAAATAGTCAAACAAATTCTACCCTGTCTTAAGTATTAAACTGGGAGTGACACATTACATTTTTTTTATATATATATATGTATTTTAATACGACTAGAATGAATTCAATTTCTTTCCGGTTGGGTCCTATTACACAAAAACTTTTCTCTTGTCTTTCCCTTTAAATGTTGGTAAATCCCAAATAGCTATCGTCTAGAACATCTGGAAGGGAACTTTGCCACCATTAACCTTAGAGTTGGCTACCTTATGGACTTGAACCGCTTAGGTGCACAACCTTAGAATTCGTTTTCCCCATGCTTTACAGACTCGAACTGCTTAGGCAGCCTGGGAAACGTGGGAATGCTCTTACAGACTAGAACTGCTTAGAGCCTCCCTTTCCACCTGACCCTGTTCCTTACAGACTCAAACTACGTAGGCTATCAGAGTTGGGTCCGGCCACCCAGGGGCTCACCAATCTTGCCCTCGGCTGCCTTACGGACTTGAACCGCCTAGGTGCACCAAGGACTCACGGGTCTCATTTACCTGGGTGTGTGAGCACAAACTTACATAGCCACTTCAGCCTAACTGGTGGCTTTCATGATTTTGCTAGAGCAGTGGAACTCCATTTCTTTCATTTTTGCACAGTCAAGACTCCCTCTGGGACCTTTCCTCACCAAGGGGGAATCTCAAGATGTTGAACCAGGAACCACCAGCAATCACTGGTGAGGCACCTGCCCTGAGTGGGAGGAAAGAGAAGTCCCCAAGGAAAGGGTTAAATCGAGGGACGAGCCCCCAGAAACTGTGTGGGACAGAGGCCACCCACCGAAATCTAAATCAGAGTCTTGACCAGAGTTTTGCAAAAAGGAAAGTTATTTTATTAGCTTTCTCAAGAAAGGACCTCCCTTGTCGCCCAGGATGGCATCAACCAAAGAGTGTGAGAGCTCTTTGTTTAAAGCAAGGACATATAGACCCTAACACAGCAGCCCACCCTAACCCCCTTCCTGTCAGCTCATTGGCTGAGCCTCAGGGGTACAATCTATGCATGTAAATCTGCCTCCAGCAACAGAGAGGACAAAGAGGTACAGAAATTATGTTAGCATGTTCCCCTTTTCAGGGCCTCACAGTTTTGTCAGTCTTTTACCCAAGGTCATATAACTAGCTAGACGATGAGATAGACAGGATGTTCTTATGGCTCAGGAATTTCTCCTAACACTATCTAAGAGTAGGGGAGGGAGAAGGAAAGAGGAGGGGGTCTTGGGTTCTGAGGGGTCTTCACTGAGTGTGGTAAGCATGTACCACTCACTGTCTACTGCTAATGCTGATGGCAGGTAACCAAAACCTGAATCATGAAATAATACTGTTCAGGGAAGGTGGTTGGGCTTGCTAAAATCTGTCCCATGGGATGTGAAAATATACTTCGGGCCTTAACTGTTGCTTGGCCTCCTCAGAAGCCACAGGAAGGCTCTGCAGTGTCCCTGACTCCTGGGTGACCTGTCGATCCTCCTCCTCCTCAGTCAGCCTATTTGTGAATCCTCTAAATATATTCGAAGCTATGACCAGACTTGCATTTGAGGCTGCAGGGCCAAGCTTGGCCAGCATAATTAAATGCGAGCCTGGTTTTCTTTGCAGTTAAGCAGTTGGCAGCAATTGTTAGGACCCCGTGCTGCATTCCCTTCCCCCCCACTAACCCCTCCCTCGCCCCAGCTGGGGTCCCAGACGGCCTTTCTTTTCGGGGGGGGGTTGGGTTGGGAGAGAGGCCTCTTGTTCATTGTGGGTGCCGTTCCTCTCTCGACCTGTAGGGGGCGATGAAGGGGAAGGGGAGCGGAGGAGGACTACCCCCTGCCCGGGAGTGCTGAGTCGGAAGCAGCCCCCGCGGAGGAGCCCCGGGGGTGAGGCGGCCGACCACGCGCCTCCCTCCCCCATTTGCGGCCCTCCCAGCCCCACCAGGAGGCAGGAAGGTTCCTCTACTGCCCGACCCTCATCGTGGTCGCCGCCGTGGTCGTCGAGCCCAGTGGGTGAGTGGACAGGAGGGGTCCTCGGGGGTCTGCGTCTGTGGAGGGTGGGCGGGGTGGCCCGGGCCTTCTCCCTGACTCCTTCCTTCAGCAGGAAGCCTCCGTCGGTCCGTCCGAACGTCTGTTCTCCCTCGCTGCCCGGTCCCTCCATCTGAGCCCCAGGTGCCGGTGAGCGCCCCATTGTGTCGCCCGGCCCAGGGCAGGCGTCCAGGGAAGGCCCAAAGTCCCGGCCCTCCCATCGGCCCGAGCAGACCCAGGTGCGAGGGCTGGTCAGCGGCCAGGACCAGGCTCGACCATCTCCCCAGGCCTGACCCTCGAGAGGGCCCCTTCTCCACCCTGTCCTGCCAGAGACAAACCTTGACCATTCTCCAGAGCCCTGACTTTCCGAGAGGTAACTTCTACTCAAAACTGCCTTGAGCATTCTACCCAGGCCTGACCACAGAGATCTTCCTCCTCCTCATCTTCCTAACCTCCCCCACAAGTGTCATTGGATTTACTCTGGTTTCACATTAAATGAAATATGTCTTTATCTGCTATTATCATTTGCCTACTGTGTGGGGTCAGAAAGTTTGTTACTGAGCCTAGGAACCTCAGTTACCGAATTTGTTATGTGTTAAAGAAAAGTACCTAACTTCAATTTGATGATTCATTGTACTGGAAATACTGTTAGAAATGTGAGCTCTTCTTTCATTTCTTTGAGCTGTGGATTGAGTTGTTAAAAGACTGATGTGAATGTGTTGAAACATCCATAGCACATTAATAACTGAGTTAGTGTGTAAGCATTTTAAGATGTCAGGATCTAGCCCAAGGCTCCAGTGCAGTGTGTTGACTTCAGTTAAGAAGCAGAAATTGCTAAGGAAAAGATTTTTGACATCAGTCTTTAACTAGCTTTAGTGTAAAGAGTAAGGTGAGAGAAATATCTGGGGAATCCTGTCCACCCACCTTTCAGGATAATCTCTACCAAGCTCATAGAACCTCTTACACTATGTAGATTTGGATATGGTAAATACACATATATGCATGTTACTGTGATCTGTGATTATTATAAAATCTCTTGAAAGCCTCCCTATGCTGTTCAAACTGAGAATTATTTCATGCCTTCCCTCTGTGAAAGCTCTCAATGGTCTGGGAACACTGGCCACACCTAGCCATGAAAACTCTTGGAGAAAAGAAATCACTCATCTAGAATCTTGGAGTAAGACATTCTAAAAGCAATCAGTAGCTTAGAACACTTTGCCCATCACACTTTAAGCTAACCTAATGATAACAGGTGTGAATTCAAGCTGTGTGTCAAACTTTCTGTCTTTCTACCTATAGATCTTTATTGACTGAATACTTGGCCAGCTTCTTATCTGATAAGTCTCAAAGAAAGGTAAAAGAGGCAGGCCACTGGGAATTGATCTAGCTCTTTAAGGAAGTAGCGGAAAAGATTTTATGGAGCTGGGAACTGTCAGCACATATTTTTTTTAAAATTGAAATATATGAGTTTATGGATAATAATTTCTTTTCTTTTGAAGTGCTAAGAGTACTTAGCCCAGGAAATTAAAATGTCACCATTAGCAATTGCAAATATGGGTTTGTTTTGATTTGAAATCTATTAGCTGAGAGACCCCAAACCCAAGTAACCCTATGTCTGTGCACTTCAGAATACTGTTCTGTAAAGGGATAATAATAACACCTACCTCCCAGGGTTGTTGTGAGAATCACATGATTGTAAAGGACTTAACACAGTGAAGTGCCATCTGAATGTTCACTGTTTTTATTATTTCTTTAATGAGATGTAATTGCTTCACACTTGATAACTTTGTATGGGTTGTTAGATGGGATGAGTATGTAATGGGAATGGTGATGATATCAATGATTTTCTACGTGAGATAATTTGGAAATGCATTCAGCTGCATTGAGGACACCTGAGGTGGTAACGATTTTGTCTGATAATGGGTTTTGAAGTTTTGAATACACAATAGTATTTATGGTATAGTTATGTTGCTAAATTTTCTTCTATTGGTAAATTTGTGAACTTTGGTAAAATGTATATCAGGTATGCGGTTAGATTATGAATTTTACTATTAAAAGAAGGTTGAGAAAGGGTTAGAAAGCTGGTAGGTTATCTTCTTAGCCCTGCTGACTATGACCACATGCTGGAATATTCTGAAATCTTGTCATTTAAGAAATTAGAAACTTCCACTTTTACTTAGAGTTAAGGAGGAAGTTTCACCTAAAAGTATTTGGCTATATCTTATGAAAATTATGAGATTGTAAGCTTCGTTGTTTGGAGTTATTTTTATAATGTTAAAACCCTTCAAGTATTTACATAGGTTTTTTAAAAGGGAAAATTGATAAATGTTTAACGTGTGGGAAAATGTACAAAGGAAAGACCTTGTAAATTCTTTTTTGCAAACCAACAAGGATTCTCAGAACCATCTAGTCATAGATTTTTATTCATACTCCACGTGAGTTTTCCTTGTTGTGAAATTCCTACTGAGTAAATGGGATATAAATACTTCTGGCAAAAAAGTAAGAGTGTAGTTTTCAGGCCTGCTTAGGATGTAGATGAGTTCCATCTGAGATTGTCTGTGTGTCTCTGTTTGATTTAATCTGGAGGTTTACAGCAATTGTCCAGTGCTGTTTTCTAGGAATTTAAGTGAACTGTAACATATTCACTATCTCTGTGAGATTCCAGAATGTAATTATTGCCTTCATTTCTCCTGGTATATTTTATAACAGGTTGACTTTATACTCTAGAAGAAGACAAAGAAAGAAAGCTTATTAAGTCCATTTTTGAAGGCCTGCTGAACTTTGTTATTGTGATAAGGGTATTTTAATTGGGTGATTTTTGGAATTGTTTCACTTAGAAAAACTAAATCTCCTCTCCATTGCAAATAATTTTTGAATAGAGAGAGGTGGGACTTAGGAATTTGTTATGATTAGGAATTTATTTTGTTTTTATGACACATAATGCATTTTTTTATACTTAAAGACATTTTACACCAATCTAGTTTTAATCAATTCCAATTGTAAAGATTTGTTTTTACTTTAAGGTTGAGTAAGAGAGAGAGCGAGCTGTCAGTTTAGAGGTTTCCAACCAATTTACTTCAGGATTAGGTTTTAGCATCAGGATAAATCAATTTCAAACAGTTCTTAAGAAAAAGAACTATATTTATGAAGGAATGTTTAACTAAAAAATCTTTTGTTCACATGTTTAAGTGAAGATGCTTTGTGTGACTTTTACAAGGGCTGAGCAATTTTCTTCCTAAGCTAATTTATTAAAATAATTCATCGGTATTGATAATAGTAGTGTCGAGACCTACTGTGATTAGTGAGACCTTATTGTTTGAGGAGGAAGCTTTTTTGGGACCCTGAATATTCCTTTTAGAGCTTCATTGTCAGGTCTGTTGTGTCCTTGGACTGACCTTATATAAGGAAAACCATTGGCAGTCAGCAGCTCAATGGAAGTGACAGCTGAGATCTAAGGCTAGTGAATATCTGTCCCTGGGAATGAGGTAGGGAGGTTATCTTGGGAACAAGAAATCTCTCCACCTGGTTCCTTATATTAGACTACTGATAGTGGTGTGGGCATTGAGGAACAGTTTTCATTATGCTACAACCATGGCTCTGCTTCTCACAAATTTCGTAGTAAATTTCTATTTTCAGGGGAGGCAAACAGTAGAAGTTGTTATTGCAATACTGTATCTGTTAGTTATTAGACAAATACCAAGGCATATAAACTACTGTATTAAACTGCAAGTGGGAAAGATTTTGCTATTTGGATCTGAATATGTCGTCATTCCATGGCTTAAGCAAGAGTTTTATTTCTACTTGAGATTGTCATTTCTATAAAATTCAATTCCTGAAGTATCTCATTCTTTCAGAAGGATATGAATATGATTAGACAAAGATAGAAAAGCTTTTGTGAAAGAAAGATATGAGCCCATTAAACTGTGAGGTTAAAGTCAGCAACCTCTCTTGTTTATGGTTTAAGGACTAGAATTTCAGCATAGAGAGTATGTTAGCGGAGAGTAGGAGTTATGTTGTGTTCCCTTAATGGGAAATCTGATTTGACTTAGGATTGTCATTTTAGATGTGTCGATTAGATCTTCTGTGTAGAGAATGCCCTGAAATGCATACAGACAATTTAAGAGTTGCCTTAAAGATGTTCCCATTGCTTAAAGAGATTCTGAGAGCAGGAGACTCTGTTTATGTCCATTTGTACAGGTTAATAACTGAACATATTTCACAACTTTTTGTAAAAGCTGTTCTTGGTACACAATTTGGGAGTATTATATGTACACATCCCATTCCAAGTCTTTTGATGTTTGTTATTAATCATCTTAAAGCAAAATCATTTGTGTGATGTTGAACTGAGGGATGAAAAGCATGTACTTAGCATGAGTACTAATTACATGGAGATAAATTGTGATTTTTCAGGATGAATCTCTTCCTGTTACCATTGTGAGGTTATAGGCAATATTTGGTATTTGGGAAATGTGATCCACCCACAGCTCTGATTAATGGAACTGGCTATTTAAGACCTTATGGGACTATAACTGATATTCTTCTGAGTCCGTTTCCAAGTATGATCATCAAGGAATGCTGTTAACCAATGATCCATGATGCCAGGAAAGCTGTGGGGTTGCATCTATGTACTGCAGGGGGAATTCTCAAGGACAAGTTGGGAGAAGGATTCTTGGCATGGACAGAGGAAGGATTCTCCTGATTCAGTTCCTCCACAGTTAAATTTCCTCCTAAATAGAAAATATCCCACCTGTGTGACTTTAAGCCTGGCTGAATGAAAGTGACAGTCTATACAGCATTTCCTTGGACTTGACCTGAATTTAGGGAAGCATCATCGCATTACTGTGTAACTATGTCTCTGACTCTTCTTTTATGGAAAGTTCTATAATCGTGTTAGGTGATCAGGAGAAAGGCAACTAAGTAGATTTCTTATGTTATTCCTGGACTACATCTGAATTAGTATACTGAGATACAGGTGTAGGATTTGA